CGACCATTGCGCTGCTCTCTTACTACTTCAACCGCGCGATATTCAGCAAAAGAAAAAAGAAAAAAAATCAAAGCGCCACGATGCAAGTTTATATAGCTGTGGCATTCGCTTACGGAGTGTGGGGTAAGTTTAACAACTTCTTTCTTCGCGAAAATATGGGCTGGCTATAGATAAGTTATCTTTTTTCAAGTGTTCCAAAATCTATTGTGTTTTTCACACCAATTTTAAAGGGAACATATTATCTAATAATGCTTTTTAAGAAGTAGCCGCTGGGTAAATCCAAGTAAATATCTTTCACATAAGCACGGACAACAAAAAGGGTAGAGAGGGAGAGAGAATAGTGATTTCCAGGGTTTCTATCGAATGCATGACAGAAGATATAGCAGGATAATTCTGTTGCCTTCACGATAGCTTGAATTGGTCGTATTTAAAATCGTTTTCGGTGCAATGGCTATTCTACCCACTAATAACCACCTCTAATATTATACAATTTAATCTTATCTAAATGTGGACGTAATTGTAATCAATAAACATGCCCAGTTAATGTCTTCAGTCCCATTTCATGTTATTATGCATGTGGGTCTGAGGATGTTTGTTTTGCATGTTTATTACATTTATTGGACTGGAGAGAATTTGCCATTTGTTAGATTTTTTTGGGAATTATCTTCGCTGTTCTTCATCTAAAGCATTCATAATCTAATAAAACAGCAGTGCATTCACTACTGTATCGGTAACTCTCCGCCACTTGTGTGGCATCCTGTATTAAGGTTTAGAGCAGGGGGAAACCTAAAGGGAACACCGAGTTAAGTCTGCCAGTTGTTTTCGCTGATGTAGTCCAAAATGAAGTCACCGACCAAGAAAATGTTTGGGATATTAATATCTCCCTGCGATTTTAAACCTATTTAGTGCATTATTTGGGCTGATCATACACCACTCCGTGTTCAGCTGTAGGTTTGAGAAGGAGCTTTTAAGACTGTCATACAGCTTATAAACTAATGGCACAGCAGGGCAGCGATAACCTGTCCCAGGATTTTCTTTGGGATAATTTTCATTCCTTTTTTCCCCATGACTGCTGTCTTTGGTTCCCTTGGTCTCTCTTAAGGTTTCTTTGCAATGACTTCTTGTTTGACTTTGATAACTTTCTGCGTTTTCTGTTGATTTTTGCCTCATTTGTGATCCTCTGTCCACGCTCATTAATTTCACCTGCGTTCAATTAGCTCTCTGTGTATTTAGCCCTGTGCGTCCTTTGTCAGTTGCAGACTTGTCTGTTCCCCTTCCGCCCCTGTGGTTCTGTCTCTGTGTGACTCCCCGAGGCTTTGTTTTCCTTTTTCAACCTTCCAAGTTATTAGTTAGACTTCCTTTTGAGTATGGTGCTCACTCTACGGTGCCTTTTGGTGTGTAGACTTGATTACATTAATTAATGTCAGCTTTGTCTCCATCCTGTTTTCTTGTGTCTGCATTTAAATCATCTCTGAACTTTACGCTAAAACTAGTCATGGAAGAAATGAGCTGCATTTTCTTTGATTAGATTCTAGATACAACCATGCACTGGAAGACAAAATGTCTATACTGTGTGCTGTATTGTGAAAAAATGGATCTGTCGCATCAGAAAACAGCCCATTAAGAGCACAGTTTGTATGTTGTCGCAGTCAAACAGCTGATTGGCTTTATCCCAGAATCTCACAGAGCATTGCCACAAAGCTCTTTGGAACCATAATCCACAATCAGTCAGTAGAAACTGTTGGACCAAATCTGTGGCAAACCATCTTCTCTGAGTTTTTTTCAGTGTGCTTACCTCTTTCCTTATCAGCTTTTGTGGGGCTGCAGCATGTTGAAACAATCCCCGAGAC